TGTGTAAAAGTCGGTTTAAATCAAGTTTTTGTATAAACAAAATGGTACAAAAAATAATTATTATTTTGTTTTCAGAAATTAATCTGCATTTCAATAAACATTATTATAATGATTCTTGTTTTCCAATGAAAATTATCATAATATTTCGAAACTTCACTTTTTTCACAATTAATCTCAAATAGATACACTGCTTCCTTAGATGACGCCCTCTGTTTCTGTTAACATCAAATCACGATTTAGAACTTATTGATATAATTAATCGGCGAAAAAATCCGAGTTTAAAAGTCCACAGTTTAAATACATTCTGTAATTTCTTGTATTAGTGGTAATACCTTGTTTGTACCAGTGTTCCTGCATTTGTTTACTAGTTGCCGTACCGCAATACTGGCAACACTTTGTTTGTACTAATTAAGGTCATATATTGACTTACCTGTGTTAATGCTTTGCTTGTACTAGTTGTCACACTTTGCCTTTACCAATGTCTATACATGTCTGCCTAAGATCTTACCATAAAAAAATCAGGTTTGTTTATACCCTGTAGCAGAAGTGCTTTAAAATCACTATTGAATTTTGTTTTTCAAATAAAAACTTATGACGGAAAAATTGTGTAAATTTTTCCGTAATCAGTGAGTGCTGTAGCCCTGTTTGAGAAGTTTGCACGTTAAAATCCTTTACGCTGCTTCAAGCTCTCGCAAATCTAATGAGATAAATATACCCAATAATGTGTTGAATGGGGTATGTCTTCATCTAAATGTGGATAATTTACTATACCAATTTCAAAGTCATCTCTTGTATAATAGATTTTCCATGTGATTACTGTAATATGAAGATCCAAAAATAATGTAATAAAATTTCAAGAATTCGTTATTTTTAGTAGCAATTCATTTTGATAAATATTAGACACCATTTGATCGAGATAAGAATTTTTTAAATTAAAAATATCATCATTGTATCGGCAAGTTTTATTTAATGCTACTATAAAATCTTAACCCTTTACCTCATATATACGCGAAACAACGCACTGTCGACCCCCACCCCCCTCTTTTAGTCCTCAAATAGTGAAAAAAATGTCCTATTTGGGCCCAAAACACATGTTTTCGTTAGAGAAATGTTGCTAAAAAAGTGAGCACTTTTTCGGCGCCGCCCCCCATCCAAAAGATACATGAGGGGGTTGCCAGAAGGGGGATGTGCCCCCTTCTGTTGTGGGTGAAGGGGGCGTAAATCCCCCTCATCGCCAAGAAAATTTTGGACTTGTGAGAGGCTAAAAATGACCCCATGTCGATCATAAGGTAACGTGTAACCAACGCTGTAAAGCCTTTGACTCTATCTCAATCCCTTGAGAAGTTGCAGCACTTTGAAATAAATTTTGATGGAAAGAATCAAGGCAAAATAGGATTTTTAGCAATTATGAGATGTCCCCTCGTTGCCACGGTAACAGGAAATTTAAGACTGAGCATGTCGTTACAAAGGCAATGGTCCATTTAACATTTGTGCCAAGTTTGATTAGTATTGAAGCATTTTGCAGTTTGAACTTGTAACAGGAGGCTTTTCAATGAAAACGGCCATTTTTCACAATATGCTCATGAGGGAAAGGGTTAAGAGAGACTCAAAATAAAGTCTCTTTCATAGCAATAAAAACAAAAAGGCGACCTGGGTCGCACAATTACTACCCATAGGAATTCCTATGATCTGTTAAAATAGTGTAGACTCTATTACTAAACCTGACATAAATGTTGTCTTTTTTTTTAAAGTGCTCTACTAACTTCGTCACAGGTCCACGTAGTGTAATGCTTAAAATTCCTATGAATATCTTTTTGTAACGCTTAAATATTTTTCTGACTTGAAAGTGAAAGTCTGCTAGAAATATTTATATTTGAATGCCAACTTTGTACATATCTTATAGGCTTTAAAATTCTGTTTGTAAAGTAAGCCTGCAATAAATGTAACTTTTTCCCGTGCAAAAATTTCTGAATAAGGGAAATTAGTTGAGTAAAGGTATACGATAAACTAAATCGCTTCATTGTTGTTAATGTTGTCTTTATTTGATCTTTGATCTTATTATTATTGTAATTTAGATGTCATTTTACATGACCCTTGATTAGAATAAAAAGTTATTCTTTCAGTCTATCCGGAATAGTGTTTTTTTTCTTTTTGTAAACTGCATCGAATATCAAAAAAACAAAGAATTCAATACCATGTAGATTTGATTAAAGTTTCAAGGGAATGTAAAGTAGATGAATTTATGTCTGAACTTTGAAACACCCTGTTGAACTGTAGTTGTGGTGAAACGTTGAAATGAGCTGTTTTATCATACAAGAATTGCTACTGCCTCATATTTCTTATTTTAAACATTTAAACAGGAATTCGGGTTTAAAACGAATACTTTTAAAGTAGATATTTCGTCTAGGATGCAATAACAAATCTAAATCAGAACGAAAAAATAAACGAGAATATTAATTTATTAAGATGAAATAACTGTTGTAATCATTATGCATAATGCTGTTGCGGTTATCTCCCTTCTGCCAATTCATTACACGTCATAAAACAAATAAGTACATTATTTATTTATTTTTATTTATTTATATACTTTTGCTTGCGTGTTTTGATCTTTTGCATTGTAGGTCATACATGTACAAAATATAAGGTAATATTTTACCATGTTTTTGGCATATTAATGAGAAATGAAATTCTACTGTTACTAAATGTAATGAAGAATTCAACACTATTTATCTTCTCTTAGAATATTATAGTGCTTTCCTTTTTGTAAGCTGATAGTCTGAATTTTTGTCAAAGTTGTCCTATGAATATCTTTTTTGTAACGCTTAGATATTTTTCTGACTTGAAAATGAAAGTCTGCTAGAAATGTTTATATTTGAATGCCAACTCTGTACATATCTTAAAGGCTTAGCTTGATTATATATATTATAATAATATTTAGTTGAATCCAAACATCAGACATAACTTAACATATTTTATTTGATGAACTGAAGTTTTTCGTCTCGTGAAATTTCAATATCTACATCTTCTTAAGGCATATTGTATAGTTTCTATAAGAATGGATTTATCGGGTAACTTAAATCAGGGTCTTTCAAATAGAATGGTCTGGAAACACGCTATGTTAACCCTTCTCGCTACAATTATACATGTCTCGTATAAATCGGTATAGTTTGCTATATAAACAAATTATGTAAGTGTTCAAGAAAAGGGCGAATATTAAATACAAGAGCAAAAATGAAAATTTTAACGACATAACGTTATTTAAAAATCTTTAAACTTTTGAAAAAAGGATAAATAATTCAAGAAATGATGTTTTTTAAAGCCATTTTTGTTAAAAAACATAGACTGTTTGTTCACAATATTTGCCGATAATCGGCGCCATTTTGAAAATGCACCAAATTAAACATCAAATATTTCCAAATTACATCGTGAAATATTATAATATTTTTACATGATCCGATTTAATAACATCTTTCCTCTGTACAATTTCTATTTTGTCATTGAATAATGCATGAATGTAAAAAAGCTCATGAAACTCAGACCTGTCTTCAAATATGAGCAGTAGATTTTTACCTTGACACCGGGAACGAAAAATTTCTAATTTCATTGCAAATCTATAAAATTGTTACTTTTAAAGAAAAACTGATAATATAATGTAGCCAGAGTTAGTTTTTTAGTATTTTTTTTATTGATTTAACAAAAAATTATCTTATAATTTGTTTATTGAATGGTGATGTGCTATGCCATATCACGGTCGGTAGATAACCCAATCACGTGACTCAACCGAGACAGCATTTTTCGTAAAATTGGTCTGTCTCCAGACCATTCTATTTGAAAGACCCTGCTTAAATTTAAACATGTATATAATTGTCATGAATATCTTCTTACTTCTCCATTTAATGATTGGTCGATTATCGAATTCGGAGAAATTAACAATGTACAACAATCACAATTATCCTTACACTTCAGCGCCATTTTTAAGACGGATCCCAACAATTTATTTCACAGTTTACATTTATCTTGAACTTTTTTTAAAGCCTATTGGTTAAATAAACCTGCATGTACTGTTTAAAGGTTATGGCATGTTCAGATTGATGCATTCGTGTCTGATAGGCCTACTTGTGTTACATTTGATTATTTAATGACTATTTGATTATTTATTCAATCGATAATTGTCGGAATCCGAAGTAAATCATACGGATTTTAAAGTATCATGGCAAAACGGTAAAAAAACATGGTTTATGTATAACTTAAAGTTACCGAAGCAACACTTGCCTAACTAGCCTCGGTGATGAGGCGTTTAGTCTCTTAGTTACAAACTGAAGGTTATAGGTTCGAATCTTAATGAAAAATTATTTTTTATGTTCACAGTTTTTTTTGTTGTTTTTTTTTAACTATTTTTTTTCTTTTGCGAAACTTGACTACTACTAAGTTTTTGTGCATGCCAATTAACCTGTAAATTCTAATTTCCTGTAAATTCCTCTATCTTACATTCCTGTTTTGCTTGTAAATTAACTTTACAAAAATGTGGTTATCTTTACCTTGAATTATGTACTATGTATATATGTAAAACCCTGTTACGACAACATCAGTATACGCGACTGTATTTTGTTCATTTTAATTTTAAATGCTTTGATTCATTGCGCCAATGACAATATGATTTAATTTATTTGTATGTATTATGATCATAACAATTGTTTGTTTATTTTTGTTTCTTATTATTTTATCTTTTGTTCATATCGGATACTTGTTTAAAGCTTATGTTTTGTACTGTTACCTTAACTGATTGTAAATAAATGTTGTCTTATTGTCTTACTATAGCACTTTGCTTATGTAGGGGAATAAATTACATGATTCCCCCACCCCATTTATATTAAAATTCCTATTATTTATTCCCTTTACCGCCAGGTGTATAAAAATCTGTAAAATAAGTTGAATTTTATCTCACTTGTCTTATTTTGGAATAATCAATACTTTAATATGTCATAAAAAACAATAAAGCATACATTTCTGAAATTTTATCTTTTTTATCACAAGCCACACATTATTTAACAGTGAAAACTAAGTTATTTCATTTGCAACAATGCGACAATAGTTTCATTATCTCCAAAATTTGTAAAACAACTTTCAGGAATAGTTAAACTACATTTATATTTGATGTTTGTCTCATCCGAAAGACTAACCATATCACAGTCCATGTACGATCTAGATCTGTTATAGTCAAAATCTACTTCATGTACAGAATATAGTAGAAAGAAAGTTAATCCTTTACCTTTCGGAGACACTTTGCAAGTAAACGGCAGATATGAAATTTTGCTGCATTGTTTCTTTCTCTTTGTTGAATAGAAAGCATGTAACACTGCAATGCTTCATTGTACTTGTTTTCCTGTTCCATGCACTGACCAAGCAAATTCAAAGTTGTTTCCCTGTGACCAAAGTTACCACCTTGCACGATAATTTTCAGAAGGTTATTCAGTGCTCGTTGTCGATCCTGGTATCTATGGAGCTTACCGTATGTCTTGTACTGTAAAAAGTACAGATAAGGCAGGGAGTCAACTACAGCATAATTCATCCATTGACTGTCTATAAGACTTCTGTGTTGCATGTCATCTCTTGTCGATCTCATCATTTCATATTGTAGTTCACGAGGAACACAGTTGACTTCTATCTGCAGGAATCTGACACAAAATGATACGATATCAAATATGCAATTTTCATTTTGTTCACAGCATTTCCTTTTAAATTCTGCAGACAACAAACTTTTCAATGGATAAGACCAACAACTACATACGGCTTCAACAACATCAGGGTTATACCGACTTTCAGTTTGTCTCAGAATGAACTCTGTTCTATCCATATCACCTACACGGTAGAATACAGATGCTAGTTTCAGTCTGCCAGATGTTACATCTGAGTCCAAACCTAATGAGAGGTACATTAGTGATGAATACGGAACTTGATTATTCTGTACAATACTTGAAGACACAATAATGGAACCAAGTGTTGAAGAAAGAACCTTCATCAGACAACGGCTTGCAAACTGCTCCAGTCTATTTCCAAATATACTGTAGTTTGCTAGTTTTATAATAACTTGTTTGAGCCTTTCTATGTTACTGTGTGGCAAGTGTATTGTGTATGCAAGAATTGTCAACTGACTTTTGCTTATCACTTTCGCTAAATTTAGGAGTAGCAGACTCGAACATTCTTCATTGACAGCACGAGAATCAAGGATCGCATGGGGAATCAAAGGGATTCGGTTGAGTTTGACCTGTAGTCTATAGCCCAAGTCATCAATGGTAATTCGAAGCAAACATCTAGCATCACCCTGTATTGTGTCACCTATCTTCCTTAAAAGGTTGTCTTTTTCTTCGTTTGTAAATTGTCCGGCCATTAGATTGTTTTCAGAAATGATGAAATGCGGGCAATTTTCGTTTTGAACAAAGCCACGCAGTTTAAGCAAGCAAAATGTTAAACATGTAAAAAGATTTTTATTTTCCCAAATGTTTCGTTCTGTATTTTCTATACAGTGTAACATTGCAGTCTTACACATAAAACTAGACAAAGCACTTTCTTTCTGAGGATCCAGAAAAGTTTTTAAGATAATTTTCATTAAAACGTAACATTGTAATTGTGTTATATTTAGAGAAAACATTAAGCATCTTTCTCCTAATGATGTCGATATTCTCCATTCTAGTTCCGGGTAAGTACTTATCTTACTGCTAGCACCAACGACAAAACATTCATTGTCAGCGACATATCTTTTCATAGCTGGCGATAGCAAACTCCCTATACCTTGGCTTTCTAAGAATTGCGATGCTGATTGCGGCCATGAATTACAAGGAAAAGCATACACAATGTCAGTGTCAGTGTATTCTTCACCACCAGGTACGGCATTAGAAGGTCCGTGACGCTCGGCATCTTCACGAATGCCACTCAATAATGTATTTCTCAACAATATCCTTCCAACACCATCCCTGATGTAATTTTCACTTGGAATGATTGTTTCAAAAAGAGGTACATCAGATCGAAGTAGTTGTAGAAAACAATATCCAGATGTTACATTTTCATTTTGTATCATCAGAAGATTATTTTTTCCTTGTTTCCATTCGGACCAGTCCTGCATCACATTATAATCATACTTTACTATAACCGTGTCAACGTCTGAATTAAGTCCTATAGTAGTTGTGCCTTCAGACTGACTTCCAAGGTAATGTATAGTTGCGTTTCTACAAGTTGATCTAAATGTGACTGTAGTAATACTCGCCATCAGCATGTTTACTCTTCTTCTGTTCATCACCATTTCTTCATTGACACCAACATCCTCTAATACCTCAGATAACTTCAGTGACAATGTGTTACTATATTCAGGTGATTGAAACATTCTGAAATGTTAAAATTAAATATATTCTAGTATTCTTGTCACAATAAGGAAAGAATTGTTTTGTCAGAATTTGTGTGTTGCATTCAAATACATGTATAAAACTTGCGTAAAAGTTGGCCTTGACATTGACATTAAAGATATACTGTGCTCAAATTCGGTATTAGACAATAATTATTGATAATTGCTACACAGTATCTTTGTAAATATCTTTTGACTTCAAACAAAGTAGATATGTTACACAATAGATTATCACAATATCAATATATAGACTGCGTGTCATTTATTCAAATTACACATATTAAGAATGTCATTGATTTTCTGTGATAAAAATACTTTACTTAAGGATGAGCAAAGTACATCTTTAAAAGTTTGATAAAATGACACTTATCAGGAATATCTTCTTTAGGTAACCAAACTTAACGCCACTCCACTCCATAAGATAACAGAAAATCTACCGTACTAATATTCCAAAATCTCTCTTCAAAAGCATAAAATTGTTGAAACTGTAATTCTTTAATCCGAGTTACTTCTAGTACCACATGGTACAGGTTTTTCAGAATCTGTGATCAGTTGAAGGTGGCTTATCAGAATTGAACAGATTAACAGATCTGATCAGATGATTGTTTATTTGAGAATAAATCAAATCTAATAGTTTTTTTAAAGTCGTAAGCTGTGTTTCAATGACCACTTAAGAGAATGCAAAAGAATCATAAATGAATAATAGATCAATTGATTCATTAAAATATCGACACGATGCAAGTATTTTACCAAAGTATTTAATCGAACAAGTTTTAAAAAAAGGTTTAAAGTACGCACAAGTTTTACTTTCTATTTCGATTTCGAAAAAGAAAGAAGAAAAAGAAAATATAGATATAGACATTACATTACCAGGTATCATATAGAAAATGAATGATATTTTCATAATATATATAACAGTATAAGAAAATACTTTGTACTAATGGAAAATTATTCTAAATATAAGTATGATTCATCAATACCTTGTGAATCGATACATTTACGCCTTGTTTAACATATATCAAATAACACTTAATGATAACAAAAAGAAATTACAGTTTACGTAAATACAAGATGAGAATAAATTAGTATAAAATAAACTTACTTTCAATTATCTTCAGATGTGTCTTCAGTAATAAATAAAACCTTCCAAACAAGATTTTTACACAACCTTTGCTAACATTTATTGTAAATTATCCTCTTTCGATTTTAAAACTCCAATCGCAACTTTTCAGTCCTTTCCGTCATACTTCGGAACACGTGAATATTTCGGTGTTAAATAGTGAGGTAGTGTCTTCTTCTTTTTTGGTTATGTCATAGTTTATTTCATTATATTGTGTAAAAGTCGGCTTAAATCAAGTTATAGTATAAACAAAATGGTACAAAAAATAATTATTATTTTGTTTTCAGAAAATAATCTCCATGTCAATGAACATTACTATAATGGTTCTGATTGAAAGACATATATTTTTCCATGAAAATTATCATAATATTTCCAAACTTCACAATTAATTTCAAACAAAAGCATTGCTTACTAGGATAACACCCTCTGTTTCTGTAAACATCAAGTGACGATTTAGAACTTATTGATATAATTAATCGGCGAAAAATTCCGAATTTAAAAGTTCACGGTTTAAATACATTTTGTAATTTCTTGTATTAGTGGTAATACATTTGTACCAGTGTTCCTGCATGTCATTTACTGGTTGTCATACAGTCATACTGGCAACACTTTGCTTATAAAGTAAGGTCATATATTGACTTTAACAGTGTTAATTAATGCTTTGCTCGTATAAGTGGTCATACCTTGTCTTTACCATTGTCCATACTGGTCTACATAAACATTTATAACAACAAATTTGTGGAATATATGTGAATTCAGCTTTCTGTATGAGCATTCTTTATATACATGTATATACATATATATTTTAATTTTGATTATATTTGATAGTTTATTTACTTTATCAACACTGAACAAAATCTTTAAAAAGTAAAATAATTCACTTGCAATATCGAAAGTGTGCACGCTCAGCATGCATCAGCCAGACCATTCAAAATAAGAACCGGAAAGAAACGAATTGTTAAAATTACTTTTAAATGTAAATTTTTGATGAAAACCATGAAATCTACAATTTGTTTATATCACTTGAAATTACAGCTATTGATGAGTAAATACTCCCCTGCACAAGAGAAGGGAGCGTACTGTATGTGAACGTTAAACGGTGACTTGTTCGTAACTATGCAAGATGTCTATACCTTTACACAGATATGTGTGAAGATACGTAATATGTATCGCTTTATTCAAAATTTTATTCGTTGGCACTGTAGAATCTACTGTTATTGTTGTGATAAAATAATCGTAGGATAATATTTTTATAATGCTAACATGGACATTTCTTATCACATTTAATTGTTTATATTGTACGGCAAAAATATAATATTTTAGAACGAAATAAAACTCTGGTAAAGTGTCCCTCTAAAATCTTTTGCTTACTTGAGACTTTTCGTTTCATTCATTACTTTACGAAGGAAACGAATCGTTAGGTTTATTGTGTTCGGTTTATTTTCGATTTTGTCGGCAAAACATGTAGGAAGTGAGTCTAGCAACAATTGCAGATATTTTATTCATTTTGTTCAATTTCTTTATGAAGTTACGGAAAGTGTATGTAGGGAGTAAAGAAATGTCTGATCTGTAATGGAGATCAAGACAGATCCAGTGGATATTAAATATGAAATTGGCGACGATATTGGAAGGTAATTTCATAAAAATGATTCATCAAAAATAATTTGTCATTTTTTTGCAGCAAAAAGTTTATTACTTTATCTTCATGCTTTAAATAAATTAACAACTTGCTAAGATTCACAATTTGCATAATTTGTTTTGCAAAAGATTTAATAGAAGTTTATAAATAGCCAATATTTTTACAGTTTAAAAGATGATTGTCTGCAAATGATCAATTGAAATCTCGAAACTACCTCATTAAAAAGAGTTTGAAATTTTGCATTTATTTTACTGCTCGGTCACTTTGCGAAGCAGTATGTGTTTCTAGCCTATAGATATGATGTTGCTTTGTGAAAAACTTAATTCTTTGCATCATAATAGATTCTATTTATTTAAAAAAACATCTAGCGCATTCTGCAAAATTTGTTGCTGAACACTTGAAAACTTATTCAGGCTATTAATGCTTTAGATTCTAGTTGTTAGTGAAATAATTAAAAAAGTGTTACTTTGCATCGCCCGCTCGCATTTGCGAGTAAAATTTCGTTTGATCAAGAAAAAAAAAGATCAAACTTGCCGGACAGGGTGAGTAAGATTCTCCCGATCCAATAGTCCTATAAATATGACGTCGCTTTGAGATATTTTTGCTTCTTATCGTAATTTTACGTCGTATCGTAATTGCTCAAAAACCCATAGCATGTTCCGCCAGAAAATCGGGCGGAACGAAAAACAATTAAGACAGCATGTATTTACATTAATTTTGACCTATTTATGAACAAAACTAAAATATAAATACCTTTGAACAAAATAATAACTGTCACATCCATTAAATCCTCTCATGTATTTAAATTCCTTTTACAGCCGATAAACAAATGGCATTGCGAGAAATCTGATTGGCTAATTCAAATGCAAGCGTTTAACTTAGTCAGAACATTCTAACGGAATTTTTTTTTTATCGAAATAATTGCCCATGCACCATCAGTGTGTTCGAATATATTTTTCCGTTCAAAAATTTGGAATTAGATCAGGGCTCATCCTGGGGGGAAATTTTAGGGAGAAGTGACGACCTCGCGAAAATTAGGGAGAAGGGAAACAACCCAATGTGTATGCATTAACATGCATGGCTATACATCCTTTAATTATAATATAAACACAATTAACATCACTTATAATATTTCTCCAGTTTATTTATTAATAGTAGTATTAATTTAAAGTAGATTAATTATTTAGTAGTAGATCAGGCAATTGCATCTAAGCTTTCTCTAAAATTAATATGTGTTTATATATTTTCATGTACATTTGTTGATAATAATGTGTAAGAAAGGATGATGATAAAATCAATTTCATATTTTATACTTTACTTTCCTCACCTTTAAAAGAAAAGATGAAGTCACATTGGATATTGATTAATAATATCTGTTCTATTCAGTTCTGGTAACAGAAATTTCTCTCAAAGTCCTGAATGTTGTAATGTCACATTTATATGCATATAATTATGCTTATAAAACAATTTTCAAACATCAAAGAATATGTAAAATATGTACTGCAAACATTTGTGCACATTATATTTGATCACTAAAATTACATACATTCATTTCTTATTGAAAAATTTGACTGAGAAATTGTAGAAAATTAATTTCTAATTACCTCCCTTTATTTTCATGAAATGTTAAATTCGGTAATATCTTTATAAATAATGCTTTTCAAAATTTACAATATTGATAAATCTTAATCTGAGCGTCATATTTACGAATTTATTTTGAAACAATAAGAACACTTCTTTCCAGACAAATGTTGTTGTTATATACACGTTACATGATATACGACCGATATGTAGTTAAGCCGGGATGTCTTGCCCACGTGCGTAAACTGTGTCAAATTTGGCATTTCTACAAAGAGAACAATGCCAAACACCCCTACTGTCTACAACATACCAATCGCAAGATTTTTGCGAATTGGCTTTTTTAAATTTTCGCATATCAGAATCAGTAACTTTCTTACTGCTCGGTTACGGCATTTCGCTTGTAGCCATGACGTGAGCGACATAACAATTTTACAGTAAAAATTGATGTTAACAGACTGAAATCATTTAAAACTATGATTAAGTTTTTAATCTGGTTGCTGATCATTAATGAAATTGATTATTTTTAATTGACTAACAGTTTTGTGATAGCCGTGAAAAAATCCATTGCACATCGCCTTTACTCGGGTTAAAAACCCACATCGAAGTGCATCGTGTACATCAATTAGGGAAGATTGTACTTGTTTAGATAATCGGGGAAAAACAATTTATAATTATCGCCAAATCCCGTATTAAACTCGCAAAACTATCACACAATTATACCGTTTCGGGCCGATGCTCTCATTATTTACTGTTTAGAGTAGGCGGTCTATCGCTTCGCTTACAGGTAGAAGGGTAGTATAAAGCGACGCTCTGATTGGATAATGATTATTAGCGGTCGTCATATGGGCGGATACAATCTCTGCTCTGTACATCGCTAAGTAATTACTATTTGGGAATTAAGATTTTATCGGCGATGTTGACTTCTCTTTGATCAATCGGAAGAGCGAAATTGGAATATACACGGCGAAGTTTTCGCCTGAATCGCCCTTCCGGATGAGCCCTGATTAGATAGACAAAAATAGATTGATGTTTATATTTTATTTTAAATTGATAAGTACATTGTTTGAGAGTTTTTGTGTATGATTGAGCATGAAATTGAAAGAAAAGAAGATAAGCTTTTGAATAAAGCTTGAAAAGCAAGACAATAGACATTTTTAAAAAAAATTTATGATGCTATGCGTTTTTGAGCAATAACTATAAGACGTCAGACTTGACCGACATAAACTATAACAAGCCTGTAACATCTAATATATTGGACTACCGATCCAAATGATGTTTTTCGGTAAAAAAAATCTATCAGATACCATTTCAATTGTTATACTTGAAATTGACCTTATAAAATTTTACAGAACATATATGATGAATCAATTCCTTAAAGACAGTGCTCTCAGCATTCGGCAATGTTTAATACATACGCGTTCGGTTATGTTTTATACTTAGCCATGAGGTCAATAGTTTAGCATTCAGGTTATGTTGAAGAGTATATATTATAATTAAAAGAATGAAAAGTATTATAAACATTATTTAAAAATATGTAAATGAATAAAGTCAATAATACTGATATAGACCAGTAAATAGTAAATTGGAGTCTTATGTTTGATTTTTACAAATTTTGTCCGTCAAAATGCAAGGCAAGGACATTTTATGAAGGGCTAGTAAATTTGATGGGTCATTCACCCTGCAGTGACCCTAGAAAAATTCATCAAGGCCTGGGGAATTTTTATCGTTCCATTTCATGACATTTTTTTTAATTTACATTTTACAACCATTAAGTCACATGTTATGAATTTGCCAATGAAAACATAACCATTCCTTTTTGACTGATGCTTGTCGAACATGTTTGAATAAAAAATGTGTTTTGAAATTTAGTAAAAGTGTGCATACATGACGTACACAGATCATTTAGAATTGGACCAT